GCTCATATTTTCCCAATGGAATAGATTTCTGCTACTTTGCACATGAACCACTATTTTTCCTCTATGTTACTGGCTAAATTTCTTACAAAATAAGATACTACCAAATAATTTAGATTAAAATAATATGTACAAATATATGCATGTATACAGGCAACTTTAAAAAAAAAACCTGCACACTGAATTATTCAAACATCCCAAATGAGTTCATACTAGTCACACTACATAATGTAATATCTGATACTATTTTATCACCTTTTATCTGAGAACATAAAATACCAGGAATGCCAAAAGTGCCTGCAGGTAAGTAATATTACCTTAGAATCCTTGAACACAAGTCCAAATGTAGTTCTGTATTTAACTTGTTAGAAATGCTGAAAACAATCCCCATTAATTTTTATGACCCCCCCCCTTCACATCTAATCTTATTTGTGATGATATCATGTTTCAATCCATTGGCTATTTTTAGCATAGGGACTTCGGGCTGTTTGTGCTGCCTAGAGAAGTATTTCTGCTGATTTCATAAAACAGCACTCGACTCTTAAGATGTAACTAAATAAAACATAAACAGACTTTGCATAACGTTTTCGTGGTCTGTCCAAATTCTGCCCTCCCTCAAGGCCTTGCTTACACGATCACTCCTTCAAATGAAGTCTCCTGTCCAGTGAGCTCGGAGTGACTACAATTTATCTCATGATTTGCTCTGACATTTTCCCCCCTCATTTTGTTTAACGTTTATGGGATCTTATTTCTTCAACCGGATTGGAAGTTCCTGGAGGTCAGAGGAAATGTTTTATTCATCTTTGTTTTTCCTGTCAGTATTCTCCCCCGCACTGTGCACAAAGCAGGTTCTCAATAAATGTATGCTGATGCAGTGCTTTGGTCTCCAAGTGCCGACATGAAGGGTGAAGAGTGTTCTAGGCTCTAGGCTGCTTTCATAGTGTCTCCCGTCTCGTTGAGAGACACACAGAAGCGAAGTTTCTAACATTGAGAAAGATGACCAAAATCAGAATGTGACCTGTCCTTCCAAATTCAAAAGAGAAACCCTGATATTTGGCATTCTGGGACAAAATTTACATGAAACAGTAAGCAACTACATAAAACATAAAGAGCCAGGTATATGCTGGACCTCAATCATCTACTTTCGCTTTCAAAAAAGCCTCTTCTTCTTCTTCCTTTTTTTTTTTTTTTTTTTTTTTTTTTTTTTGGCTAAGTAATCGTAACTATCACCTAATTTGCATTTTGGGCTTCTAGTTTCTATATGGGAAGAGGAAAACAATGTATACATGACATGATGGGGGAGGTGCCCTATCTGAATGCTAGGCAAGCTACAAGGAAGATAGGACATTTCACGATGGTGTTATATTCTGGCTAAGTACCGTGCTTAGAGTTCATTTAATCTTTCCACCTATTGCTACTATACTTCTAGATGGTCAAAATGCTTTATCGTGATGTAGATGCCGAGCCCTCTTTTAAAGAAAGGGCATATGCACAGAGAAGAGTTACTCATCGCTTTGGCTGGTGCCAGAGGTAGGTAAAAATAAAAAGTGCTGAGCAAGGAAGAGATCATGAGACGAGACTCTCAATTCTGTCTTTTTGGAGGAAAGTGAATGTGTTTCCTTCTAGAATTCTAGTCTTATACCCCACATATTGGTAAATATCCCAAATATAAGTAGCCTATGCTAGATTTTAGTATTATGCTACAAAACTATCAATAAATTTAAATGCGAAGTATCCAGTTTCCCATCCTGTTTTACAATTCAAACACTATCGGCCTCATTTCAAGCAGTTACAATAAAACAAATAACTACTTTTCCACTCCTCTAAGAACCACACCATTTCTAAAGGTGTGAGCACAAGGTTCACAACTCTAAGACGCTTCAGGTTCTAACTCAATCTGGAAATTCACGTTTCCTAAGATCTCAGAAGACTGTGACATCTACCCAACGAGTGGCATTTGTTGAAGGAGGGCTTACATTTGGATAGGTACCTGAGCGACCAATGCAAACACGTGTTCATGTCCATTAAACTATGTAATATTGTCTGTGTACTGGAACCTACGTGAATACCAAATAAACTTCACTACAGACTGCCAATACAGTTGCCTGTAAAGTATGTCTCCTTTCATTGGCTTATTGACCTTGAAATAAAGATGGCAGGGAAACACAACAAACTGTAATAATAGCAATGTATCATGATAATGCTTTCTAATGCTTAAGTCATGATTCTCAGTTTGAAATCATTGGCTACTTTCCCTTTATTAATCTTCAAAGAACTTGGGAGAAGGCAGGGATAGGGTTTATTTTTCCTTTTCACTGGGTATATGGGAACTTAGGAGACTAAGTGCATCCCCTAGGTAACTCAGCAAATATCAGTGCTGAGAAGAGAACTAGTCTTCTAGAGAATGCACATCAGTGCACACCTATTCATCAAAGTAGCATCTGATAGGAGGAGCCTGGCCTTTCAAAGGTGGATATCACAAATGAATATGAAAGACAGATCCAGAAAAAAAAAATCAGCTAGGGATGTGAACTGACCTTATAAAAAATAGTGTAAAAACTGCTTCAAAAATACTAGTGGTAAATATTAAGTCAGGGGCACCTGCGTGGTCCAGTCAGTTTAGCATCTGACTTTGGCTCAGGTCACGATCTTGTGGTTCATGAATTCAGGACCCGCGTCAGGCTCTGTGCTGACAGCTCAGAGCCTGGATCCTGCTTCAGATTCTGTGTCTCCCTCTTTCTCTGCCCCTCCCCTGCTCACACTCTGTCTCTCAAAAATAAACGTTAAAATTTTCTGAAAAATATTAAGTAACGACATTAATTCTACAAAAGCAAAAAAAAAATACACGCAACAACATTTTAGTCCACTTTGAACAAAGGCGGTCCTCTTTAGTTGTGAGACTTAGGTGTTCAAAAACTGATATAAGATAGCACTAAGCTGAACTTTCAGGCCACCTTCATTAGTCTTAAGAAAAAGAAAATGAGGTAAAAATAAATTCCTGGCCAGCCTCTTTCATTGACGAAAGCCACAAAGATCTGTACCTTCAAAACCAACAGAGTTCACCTTCTGACCCTTTCTCTCTCTGTGCTTCAGGGAGTAGACCTGGAGGTCACTTCATCTCTACCTCAGGTCACTACCCTCCTAGTCCTACTCTTCATTCCTCCCCAAATTATAATACTGCATTTTTTTCAAATAAAGTACTATAAAAAGTAAAATATTTATGTGGCGAGGCTTTAACAGGATGACATACAAGCAAACGAGTAAAGGAAAAATAAGAAAGAAACAAGATAAAAACGCAATGCAATCTATCAATTTGCCTTGACTCCTCTCACTCAAGTCCCGAATCGTGATATATATGCGTCTCTTCTTTTACACCCCTAACATCATGAAAGCATTCTCTTTCTTCCCATTGAATGGTTTAAGCATAAGTCTGACTGTTCTGAGTAGCTGATCTGTGCCTACAATCATGCTGTGTCTGACTGTTCCTAAGGGAAGGAGACTTACATGTGTCAGTAGGAGATGTGATGCTATAGCAAACCCAAGTTCAAGTGTGTGCAGTGAACGGGATTTGGTGGATGCAGCTGAGCTTAAGTTAGGAAACTGTTCTGACAACGAAGGATGGACTGTTTTAGGCAGAAGGGGAAGGCGTGTTCTACCTGGTACATTTTGACTTCCGAATGTTCTATTGCACGGAAGATTATATTCCTAGGGATGGTTTGTGATCGCTGTGTTCAAAATAATATAGCTGTCCCTATAGCCTGACTTTATTGTATAGATAGGGGGATGCCAAGTCTGACTTCATTTTTGAACAATTATTTTAAATAAATTCTTCACTAGACTATGATGTTAATGTCAGACAAGAGAGAAGGAAAGGAGAGTGGGGTGTGTGTGTGTGTGTGTGTGTGTGTGTGTGTTACCATATCTATATCCCTAAATAAGCTTATTATTTTAGCTTATTATTTTAGGGAGGTAAAAGATTATAAGCTTTTCTTAACAATAATCGTCTAAATTATGGATATTTTTCATGACAGTTTACAATGTCCAGACTTAGCTCAGAAGTTAGCTCAAAGCTCTCACCATTGCCAGATAGCAGTTAAATCTAAATGTGGTTAGCTTATTAGTTGAATATATATAAAATACTGAGTGATTTTTGTACTTTATACCTTTATGTTTTTGTAGTCAAAATCCAAAAGGTCACATTGAAAAACTTTACTAGTGAACCCAAATTAAGACATGCAATACAAAGAAATTTCAAATATATCGTCTTTATAACATTTATCTAAAAAGACATAATGTATCGTATGCACACACATGCTAACACATGCATACACAAAACCATACATGTAGATCATAGGTTGTAAGTTTTATGTAAAAAGTGTGAAATTGGATATCATGGTATTTTGACTTGCTTACCTATCATCATTTTGTTAGTTGCGAAGAGATCAGTTGCTTAGAACCGTGTGTCTAGTCTCGATACAGGACTATTGATAAAACACTTTAAAACAGTCCTTAGATACAGATACAGTTATACTTTTTATAAGTGGAAATAATAAACAAATACATGCTAACCAACCAGGCCAATATGAGAAAGTGATCTAATGAAAGTCAATCCCTAATTTAAATTTTTTATAAAATTAGTTTTCTAATATATGCATATATCCCATAACTAGGACACGCATCACTTCATCTTTGAACACGGTTTGCTTTGAAAGAGCTCAGGATAATTGGTTGAATAGGAACATCAGCTATGGCTTGTGGATGATAACGGATGCCTAAAAATTATTGCTACATAATAATGGCCCCGGATAATCAGGTGAAACATTTTTAAATTAGTAAAATGTTGCACCGCTCTGATCCTGGTTCCTTCTGCCTCTATGGCTCAATATATATACAAAACTGGTCTTCATTTGCCATGAACCAAAAGCATCGTAACGTGGAGACATGAACGGTGAGCAAAGCACACTCTTGTAAAATTGCATAAAAGGAGAGCGATGAGCTTTTACCTCACAGGGCTGTTGGAAGAATCCGGGTCATGAGCCGCGACGGTGCCAATGATATTCCCAACTTGGGTAGCCTCCGATACCTCCATGGGGTACAAGGGTGCGGAAAACACAGGGGGCTCATCCACATCTTCCACGATTATTTTCACTGTGGTCGTGTCGCTGAATGGACCCAAGCTCAGAAAGCGAGGGTCGGCATCTTTGTTTGCGGCTTCTATCCGGAGTGTGTAACTTGTTTTGGCTTCAAAATCCAGGTCCTGTAAAGAAAGTTATTAGGAAAATTAAATTACCAATTAAAGAGTCAGCTAAGCAGAGCCTTTTCATTTGTGAATGTCAGTACGCATAGAAAGGACTCCGCCACGAAAATGCACCATCAGCATTCACAAATAATAAATAATGATGCCAATCAGAATCCTTGCTACTTTTCTGGCTCACAGACAATGGTAAGTGCTTCTCAGCTAACTTAATCCACTCCGCTGGCAAATGCAAGTCTTTTGAATATTATCTGAAAGACAACTGACAAGATTGAAAAACCTTTCCAACAGGGATATCAATATAATTTTCTTCAACCATGTAATTTAGCTGCACTATCCAGGGGTGCACACTAAAAAGAAAGAAACATACAACTTTCCACTGAATTTATGATTTAAAAGGTCATCTTTATTGATTTCAGGGACTCCATTCCAGTCCTGAGCTTTTATAGATGCTCCAAAGGGAGCCAGCCACACAGGATAGGTGGTACGTTGAATTTGTGCCGTCTGAAAACACAGCCAGTTCTCGACGAAGCACGCATTGTTTCTTTCTCCACAATCCCTCTACCAGTGCACACTGTGTCTCTGTATTTGATGGTGGAGAGTTATATTCCAGAATCTCCATTCTGTAACTTTCCTAGAGGATTAACACGCTAACACGTTCCTCAAAAACAGTGACCCAAGTTAAACCATTTGGTAGCTTTAAAAAGTTGTAAGGGCAATTAAATGCTGTCTTAGAAACGCACCATCTGTGGGGGGAAAAAAAAAGAATGCTGCACACAACATGCTGAAGTTGTTTGTGACAATAAAATGCTCTTTCTTCAAGGGATACAGAGCCTCAGAGTTTAATGACTTTCGATCTCAATCTCACCACTGAAAAGCTGTCCCCAAATATCACTTACATTCAATAAGACAAAAATAATGGTGTAAAAAAGTAAAGACATGGTATGAAATATAACACATGATACATATAACTCTCGTTTTTACTTAATGGTTACGTCACAGGAAAAGTATTATGAAAAGGGGCAAAAACGCAATGTTGCGAATTATAATCCAACTTCATCTATTATGTAGGTGGGCACATGAGTATTACATACAGGAAGGTATGCATACATTCCAACCCATCCCAAAAGGTGTGATACTAAAAAAAAAAAAAAAAACAATGTAGTCATATAAATATAAATTAGGAGATGCACATATAAACACACACTGAAAGTATATATATACACATATATGTATATATGATGTACAGAATATATATACATATATATACATCTACACACGCTTAGACAAAACATAATACACATACACACATAAACCCATGTACGTACAAAATACACAAATATTCATGTGTATTTGCAGACATATATTACATGAAAAGATTCCATGGCTCATCTCTGGTTAATACCGAGAAAAAAAAAATATAGATCAATTCTCAAAATAGGTTTACAATATCTAGATAAAGGAGAACTTACTGAACTATTTACTGGCCTCACATCGGTCTCATCCAATCGACTGTAAGCTCCAGACTGTTTTGTTAATTACTAGCATTCCCAGTGCCTGTTATGAATTCAGTACATAGAAGGGGCTCAATAAATTCTTGTTGGATTAGAAAACAACTAGACCACAGATAGCCAGGACACTTGGCCACAGAGAATCCCGATGGCCAAAGTAGGGGGTGAGGGGAAGGAACAATTAGGTATATTGGTATTCTACCACAGGAAAAAAAAAAAAAAAAAAAAAACCTTCTTAGCATTGCTACAGGAAAATGCAGTTTTAATTTTCTCTGAAGTTTCATATGAAAATTCAGGGGCACATGACAGTGCTCTAAACAAGTCCTTCTGAGCAAATTCAGTGATATTTTTTACGAGGCTACCTTTTTTGTCTATTACCTAAAAATATTTCTGGCTCGATAGTTCTCAATCAAATGTGAGAATTAGGACTACCCAGAGGAATTTTCTGGGTAGCCACACATGTGTGGCTCCTTCAATGAAAATTTTGACTCAGCAGATCCAGGATGAAGCCCAACCATACGCATTTTCAAAAGGCTCACTGGGTAATTGTGATGCAAACCCTCTTGTAAGAAGCCCGATCTTTGCATTAACACAGTCTTGTCACCATACATATAACCACTGTTTAATTTGGGTATTGCTGAGAATAAAAAAAATATGTACCTAAATGGATTTACTTAGAGACTGTAAACATATGCACAAACAGCTCAGATATTAACCTTTTTACTTTGTGCTTCTATTACTTATAAAACTGACAAGTGATGAGAGGGATCTTATTTTTATATAATTTGTATCTGTGTATGTAGAATGTGTTTTAAAAATCCTGTTTATCATCTCCTTTTAAATCAATTCAAAACCACAACTTTTAAGATATTCATTCAGGTTTATCAAAAGGGGTAACAAGTATTTCTGTATTCAAGTAAAAGTGTGACTGATACATGAAACAATAATTTAAAATCTACCACACAAATGAATGCAATTATTTTATAGCAACTTTTTTTTAATCTGTCTAAAAGGCAACACCATGAGATACAGACATCTGGATGCCACTGAATCATAATGAAACACAGTATCACACATGATGATTGGTTGCCTGAGAGCTATTATGAAAATAGAGCAATAAAAGAATTCATATGAAAGGCTATGAATCAAGATTACAGACAAAAGAATTGCTACACAAAATGATTTTCAGAGCAAATCAGAATAAGCCAGACAATACTTTTCAAAGAGAGGTGTGGGGTAACAGAGTTGTTAAACACATAGAAGAAAAAGCTTTTGCAACAGAATTTTGATTCCTATTTCTTTTTCTTATTGATTTCTATATAAGCAACATATTCCGTAACTATTAGATTTAACGAACAGGGTTTTACTTGGGGAAAGAAATGTTAAAGCAACAGGTGAGGAAAGGCAAAGTAAAAGGAAGGAGATGAAGGTAATGTCTGAAGAGATCATGTTCGATATTAGAAGCTACATATCACTGGAGACCATACGTCACTGGAAATCAGACCAGAACACTGTTCATGCTGTCGCCCACAATAGCAAGCAAGATGTAGGATTAATGAGAACCTGAGTTCAAATGGAAATCACGTAGACCCAGACCAGTGATGTCATAGAGACATATCTGGGACCTGTAGAAGCTGTTCTTTCATCTGTCAAGTGACCCGTATGTCAGAGACACCAAAAGAAAGAAGCAGCTTATTGGGTATCTTATTTCCTAGACTATAAAATAGGGCTGTTTTTTGTTTGTTTGTTTTTGCCATCAGAGATGAGAAACTTCACGATTAAAAAGAAAAAAACTGCAGAGAACAAACTGATGGTTAGCAGAGCGGAGGTGGGGTGGGGGTGGTGACACTGGCAAAGGGGATGAAGGCTTGAAAAGTGCACTCATCTTGACAAGCACGGACGAATGTGCGGAACTGTCCCATCAGCTGGCTGTACACCTGAAACTAATATGACACTATATTACGTGTTAACTATACCGGAATGAAAATAAAAAGCGTAATTAAAACCTAAGCAGTATAACTGCGGCAGAGGTGAACAACCTTTTTCCTGTAAGGAAATAATACTAAATAATTAGGCTTTGCAGGGTACGCATTCTCTGCCCCCTGCAAATGAATTAGTGTGGCTGTGAGCCAATAACACTTCATTTGCAGGCAATGCAATTTACATTTTATATAACCTTCACGTATCACACAACATCCGTCTTTCCCGATTTCTCCATCATTTTAAAAACACAAAACCACCCTAGGCTCTGAAGCTGTACAATAGCAGACAGGCAGTTGTTTGTCAACCCCTGATCTAGGGAGCCCAAGAGAATAAGCTTGTTTTTCCAGACTAGATGTTCACCCTTCTTTCTCCCATCCTTTTTACTACAATTAAAACGAACTATTCACTACGAGCATCACACTTTGTCTTCCAGTTCGTATCGCCTGCTGGCCCTTCTTTCCCACATAATTTTGTCTTCCGTTTCTCTTATTGAAATCTCAAGGATACTCGTGATCACTTTTCTTTTATGAGTGTTCCCAGAATCCCCGTACCTAACACATAATAAACCTTATGTTGAAGGCTAACCGTGAACAAGAAGTTTTATACACATTTTTAACGTACATTGAAACGATGCAAGGCTAGTATTATTAATTGATGTGAAAACCAAACAGCAGAGAGTTACAAAGGAAGTGTAAAGTTACATGTGTAGAAGGGCAGGCACATTACGTGAACTCAAGTCCATGTCCACCCACCACCTACTCCCTTCCTGCTACAAAAAGCAGGCTCGAAGAGCAATTAGGATTCGTATTGTATGGCATTATCAAATTTAGGCACCTGCCTACGTCGCCGACCTCACAGGTTTGCTATAAAGTATTCCTTGCTTTAAAATACGTAGAACACTGCCCAACACTGAGTAATCGCTGTACAAATATTCACTTGGTCATTATCATTCTTAGTGCCATTATTTCCTGCTAGATTATGAGCAAATCCAATGAAAGTTAAGACCATGCCTTCCTCTTCTGGAAGAGGACACCCCCCATGACACCTACACCTTCAGTAAAATTACTTTATAATATGGTGGCTTTGATTTAAAAAAAAATATATCATATAGAGTGGGATCTCCGTAGTTCCCCCTGCCATTTTTAGTAGTAGAACCTAAGTTAAAACATAATCATGAATTCATTTAACAAAATCACTGCACTACATTCTTCTTTCTCCATATAGCTTGGCTACTGGTCTATAGCCAAAGGTGCTCTCATCAAGCTCAACAGCCTCCTTTTAGCTCTTGTTCTTTTGAGCAATGCAGAAGTTGATGTTTAGGAATTGATCCATATTAAACTCTTCTTTGTAAAAAAATATTTATTGGGGTGCCTGGGTGGCTCAGTCGGTTGAGCATCTGATTTCGGCTCAGGTCATGATCTCGTGGTTCGTGGGTTCGAGCCCCGTGTCGGGCTCTATACTGACAGCTCGGAGCCTGGAGCCTGCTTCGGATTCTGTGTCTCCCTCTCT